CTGCTGTCCTTCAAGAGACTCCAGATGCAGCCAGATCTTTGTAAGATGAACTTACTGACATAAATGGGGATGTCGTTGTGATGAAAACGTTAAAGATGCCCCAGCAAAAAAATTCTCATTAAAGGAATTCTTGGAGATATTTCATGAAAGTGAAAGGATAAAATGTTAGAAACGGACTGAAACTTAGGAAGGAGTATGGCAATTTGCCAACGCATAGAGAAGATGCGCACTCCCTACTGCAAATTAAATGCTGAGAAGGTAGCAAACACTGTGCAAACTATGGTTACATTTTTTTTACAAAGAAATAACAGAAAGTAATGGTTGGGAGCACACGAGGCTTGGTTGGAAAGTTGTAAGGAGGACATTCTGAGAGAACAGAAGTGTGTGGAAGGCCGCCTGCCTTGTTAATTGGACTTCCGACTTAGGGGAGACTTAGGGGTGTCGAAGACAGCGCCCCTAATTATTCCTTGACCTTTCCAAACAAGTCTATGCATGTGTAGACCCCCGGGTGTTTACTGGAATCCTTATGCTTAATCCCTGGATGCCCTTGCTTAAGACACTACAAACACATGTGTCCTCCCAATATTACTTACCCTGCTGATTGTATCTAAAAGATAAACTTTATCTCAAGCTGCTGGTCCAATAGAAGCCTAAGGAGGCAGGCAATCCAGGCTGCTTGGTCCCTTGAGCCAGGAAACCCCTTGGCCCTCTCGTTCACAGTGAAACTGTGGGGAAATCTGTCCGTCCCTCTTCAGGGGCTGCTGGTCAGCCCCCGCAAGGTGGTGCCCCATGTGAGAAGCTCCGGCACTTAATTCTCAACATTTCTAATTTTTTAATTATAATTTTAATTAAAGAATTTAAACTTAAATTTAAAAATTCTAATTATATTAGTTTGAATTAAAACTAACATAATTATATGTTAATTATGCCAAAGAAATATTAACTTTACTGTCTTTTGGTTTCCCTATATATTTATAACTGACACAGAGGTTTGCATGTTCAATCATTTTTAAAGTCCATGTAATCATTATAATTCCCCCCCATTGATTATTAAGATCATTGTGCATGATTTCAGCGTGCACAGTCGTTTTCACCATCCTGCCTGTATTTCTACCTTGGGTCTCCAATCTGGAAGCTGTATTTAGCTCAGTGGGTGACTCCTCCCCCTGCTTCTCATTGTGTGAAATGTTTATATATTGTAAAGCAAACTACAGGGGTTAGGTATTATTAACATTTTGGAAGCAGCCCACCTGATTAAAATGCCAGCTCTGCAGCTTACTAGGGAATCTCGGGCAAGTGACTTAGTATCTCTTTCAACAGTTTCTTCGTCTATAAAACCACTGGGTAGTATTTATAAGAATTAATATAGCCCTAACTGGTTTGGCTCAGTGGATGGAGCACCCGCCTGCGGACTGAGGGGTCCCAGGTTTGATTCTGGTCAGGGGCATGTACCTTGGTTGCCGGCACATCCCCAATGTGGGTGTGCAGGAGGCAGCTGGCCGATCTTTCGTGTCACCGGGCTGGACTCCAAGAAACTGCTCAGTAGTAGCTACTATTTATTGAACATTTACTAAGTGTCAGGCATTGTTCAAAATACTTTTAATGTGTCAAGTAATCTAATTCTCACAAGAACTCTAAGAAAAGTGCTACTATTCTTCCCACTTGGCAAATGTGGAAGCAGAGATACAGAGAAGATACTTTCCTTTTTCCTTTCTATAAAAACAGTGACCTATTCTTTTAGCAGGAGGTTAACGTGGCTCTGCAGTCAGACCAACTGAATTGGAGTAATGATCCCACCCCTTCCTGCGTTAAACGGCACACGTTCCAGATTAACCTCAAGTCCCGGTGTCCTCCCGGGTAACTTGGAGAACACAACGCCCACCACCAAGAGGTCGAAATGGAAACTGGACATGTCTGCACGGCGCCTGGCACAGTGTAAACGCTAACTTGATGGGGCGGCCCGATCATTGCTCCGCTTAAAACGAGGAGGCGTTCAAGCTCTGCAGAGTCGGGCCCGCCCCGGGGCTACAGCGCCGGAGCTCACATAGCACGACGTTAAGCCAACCCTGAGCGGGCAGAAGAAACAGGCCCGCAGACGGCCATTGCCCTCGCCGCCCCCGCGCCCCTTCACCTTTGCCCCCCTTCTCCTCCTCCGACACGGTCTCAAACCCGAAGTGCGTTTCCGTTGCCCGTTTCTCTTGGGACAAGAGCCGCGCACCCAGCGGACTCCCTGGCCAGGAGCTACGAAGGCCGGGGAGCCGGCAGCCCCGCATCACGCGCGACCACCCGCGGCCGCAGGAGCCCCATAGAGCGCAGCTCCTGGGGGCCGCCATCTTGACAGTCGGCTGACAGCAGCCGGACCATACGTCACGTTGCGTCACTGGGCGGCTGACGGCGGCCGGCCAGAGACACAATTAGTCGAACGCGTCCTGCGTCCTGCATCCTGAAGTCGAGGAGTCATGGCTGATCGCTGGAATCCGGAGTCTGCTTACTCATTGACTCCCCGAAGTCCTTTCTTTCTCTTCCCAAATTGAACACAACTCACCAGGATAAGCGGACCTTAGGGAGACCCCCCCCCCATCACCTCTCAGCGGCCACGTCTCTGAATCTTGCCAACCAGTGGTACCAGTACCAACTCGCAAGCTACCCAATAACTCCTGTTTTCTGGTGAAGAAGAGGGTGCACTGAGGTGCAGTGTGGGGAGAGGCTAAGTTCCAGGTCAATTCTCGCAAACTTTGGCATGCATGAGAATCACCTGGTGTGAGCGTTTACAATGCAGAGTACCAGGCCCCCAATACCAGAGGTTTTGAATCAGCCAATCTGATATGGGTTTTGGGAATCTTTACTTGACCAAACTTTTCACGTGATTCTGACGCAAGGAATTCACAGACCACTCTTGAGAAACATATGCTAGACTACGCTGAAAAGTAAACATTGGAAAGAAGTGGGAACGATGGCTCTGGTATCTAGTTAGCAAGTCAGAACAAATCACCATCACGCTTCCTCCCCTCTGAGGCACAGCTACAGTTCCAGCTCCAGCTGGCACAGCATGGGTATTTTACCTCACCCAGATTTCCCCATTCTTTTCTTTTTATGGAAAGGGTAATGTAGAGTCCGTCTTGCGTAAAAGAAGATGGGGGCGGTTTGATTCTCTTTTTAAGTGTATGTTTCCTGCAAATATTCCACAAGGACCCTAAGAAACTATTTTGGAAATGAAAATTTTCTTTCTGGTGTAATGTAGCCTGACAGATGGACACCTACCACCTTGTTTTGGAAGAACTGCACGGGGATTTCTCGTCCCTTCTCTTTTATCTTTATGTGTGATAGATGGAATGATTCATCCATGTAATCAGAGTTCTCATATCTTTGTTAAAGGAAATATAAAAATTCATCAAGGAATCTTAGTATGTCTTCCAAATGTAGTCATGCATGAGAATGGACCTCAGGATTTGAGATGTTTCTTCTAAATATTAAATTAAATTTCCAGACCAACATTATGTAGGTATTCTCTCATTTCAGTATGATCTGTGGGGGCAAAAAACTGGAAAAGGTGAACCAAAGGTGAGGGCACATTAAGGAAATTTAAAAATATAAGATTAGCCTTGACTGGTTTGGCTCAGTGGATGGAGCATCAGCCTGCGGACTGAAAGGGTCCCAGGTTTGATTCCAATCAAGGGCACGGGCCTGGGCTGCTGGCTCAATCCCCAGTGTGGGGCATGCAGGAGGCAGCCAGTCAATGATTCTCATCATTGATGTTTCTATCTCTCTCCCTCTCCCCTCCTCTCTGAAGTCAATAAAAAATATAAAAAATATATAAGATTAGTATCTATTTTTCTTTGTCCTGGTTAAAACTGATAATTTTAAGAAACTGATCAGCTTATATATACTCATTAATGCTTTGTATAATGTGATGATTAATAAGAAGCCAAAAAAAGGCCCAATTACAGGAATCCAAGGATTTTGTCTACCTATTTATTTGTTCATATTTGCTGAAATTCCACTCGACCTTCTATGCTCAGCTCAAGTGACACCACCTCTGTGAAGTCCTCTTTTATTCCTCTCAACTGTCTGTACTTCTCTCCTTGGAGCTTCTGCCCTGGTCAGCATTTGGTGTTAACTTTATTATAGCCCTTATCACAATCTTCCATTGTAGTTTCTTTTTTCTTTTCTTCATGTGAATGATATTGTATTTAGTCATTTTTGTTTCCAACTGGAACTCTGGGAATTCAAAATTAACATCCTTGTCTGTGAGCTTCTTATAGACACCAGAAAAGGTTTCGATCTAGTCTCCCATATTGTTCTGTAGTGCTTTATCCAAACTAATTTTTCTGAGCTGGCTGCCATCCAATTCACCAGGATTCTTGTGGAGCTCCTGGGATGGGATGCTTTTTCTTATTTATTTATTTATATTTTTGCAGGCTTTTTCAACTTTGACGCAGGCAACTCTGAGCAATAAAGAGAACATGCTTCCCACTAAACTATTTTTCATTTTTAAATATATATTTTTATTGATTTCAGAGAGGAAAGGAGAGGGGAAGACAGAAACATCAATGATGAGAGAGAATGATTGATCTGCTGCCTTCTGCACACCCACCCTGGGGATCAAGCCCGCAATCCCAGGCATGTGCCTTGACCGGGAATCAAATCATGACTTCCTGGTGCATAGGTGGACTCTCAACCGCTGGGCAACACGGGCCGGGTATTGACCTAAGCTTTTTTAACCCATTCTCTTGTCTTTAAATTTGTGCTGTTGTGAGGAG